TATATATATTTAAATTTTTATATTATTTAAATAAATATTTATGGAAAAAATTAAAAATTATGGTTTTTTTTGTAACGCACTGTATTTCACGTGATATACTAATTTATATTACATGTAGCAATTTGAAATAAATTTTTGAGTTAAGACTTCTGGTACCATATAACAAATGAAGAAATTAAAAGAGAATCTTAAACTAGAGATAGAAATTGAAAAAAAAACTTGATGAGAAGATGGAATCACAAAAATGCTTGCCTACGTATATAAATAAGAAATAGCAAATCTATTCAAAATATAATTTACAGTGGTAACTATAAATAATAGAAATTATAAATTTATTTTTATTTATTTAAAAAAAATAGCTACTACATGAAAAAAAATTCAAATAGTTAAATAGATATACTAACTAATTTTTTTTTAGTAATTTATTTTATGTTTATTTTCAGCCACTAACTCTTCTAAACGATGAGGCATACTTTTTACTAATCCAATTAGTATGCTATTTTCAAGACCCATCCATTCTGACTTAATTAATTCTTTAAACTCAGCAGACGTGATGGATTTTTTTTCCCATATCTTTTTTTTCCACTCTTTTCTTTAGAATCACTCATAGATTTTCAATAGGGTTAAGATCTGGCGAATTTGATAGTCAGTCTAAAACTCTTACACAAGAATCAGTCAGAAATCGCTTCATTGTCTTTGCCATATGTTTAGGGTCATTATCTTGTTGGGAGATCCACTCATAATTCATTACAATCTGTATATGATCAAGATTATTCACGAGAATTTAATGGTATAATTCCCCATTCATATTTTGCATAAACATGTGAAAATCAATGGTGCCCCTCACAGAAAATGCACTCTACACATAAATCTTGTATGGATGCTTAATCATAGGATGTTGTGACTGCTTTGTACCAGCCATGTAATGAACTTGGATTGTATTACGGAACATTTGGAAGATAAACTTGTCAGAAAAAATGATCCAGCTCTATTTTTGATTAGCATGAGCTTCGGCCCATTCCAGATAACAATTTTTGTATTCTTCAGTAAGAAGAGGGATCTATCTCAGAATTATAACCATCCAATCATGATTTGCGAGCATCCTGTTGATAGTTCTTACTGATATATTTAGATCTGGATTGCTGGCATTCAATCTAGACGCAAGTTCCTTTGCTGAAATTTCAGGGTTCTTCTTCATGAGTTTGTTAAGATTCTTGAGTTCATTAGAAGACAATTTGTGAGACCATCCTGGATGAGGCAAGGGGTTTAAATTATTGTTTTTTTTTAATTTTTTTACATAGTTATACACGGTCATCTTAGGAAAACCAGTTTTTTTATTAGAGAGGTGGGGTTGGTACTGTATACCATAACGCTTGAATAACGCTTCTTTGATGAGCAAGAGAATTATTCTCCATTTCTAACAATTATTCTTCCGTTTTAAGAATATGCGGTACGCGTAAAAAAATTTTTTTCTTAAATAAGGACGCAGCAATAATAACGATAATCGTTGCACAAAAAATCTTGAATCTTCGCTTCAAAGTTAATATCAATCCCAACTGATACAGGTACACACATTTATCTTATATTCAATTAACATGACATTTTGGACTACTTTAAATATAGATCAAAACAGTTAGGTTTTTACAAATGTCAGTTCGTATGTTCTAAATAATCTGAAATCGCTATATGTATTATTGTATACAGCATGTTATTTTTATTAAAATATTCAGTTAACATCTTGTTTACATGTAACTCTAGAATATGTAACTACTGAATATGATATAGATATTGATGCCAAATTAACATGCGTCAGTTTACGTGAAACAAATGAAGGGAAGTTTATCAGTTTGTCACCGTAATGATTATTAATTGATTTTTCTAATCTTCGTTTTATGCTGCATTAACGATGGTGCTAAATCTCAAAGTTATTAAACAAATAATAAGCGTCCTATTGAAGATGGTCGGAAGAACCAAAAACACGGGGAAAGATTTGATTTTTATTGAATTAACCATAACCATGGACAGCCGATAAATAATACAGGGATACTTTTAATTTCATTCATATTTAGCAGATATTACTCATTAATGTTAATTTTGGTTTATAATCATATTTTTAATATAAAATTTATATCGATATGAGTTTTACTACATGTACTACGTACGTAACCGTTATCAATTGTCGATATTATTAAAACTTGGATTTCTGCATTGATGATACTACGTGTATAATATTTATTATATACATGTATAAACTTAAAAAAAGTTATTGAATTGGAGATTGTGGTTTTGGTGAACAAGTACTTTGACATTCAAAGCACAATATCGAGTAACCAAATGGAGACGGTGTACAATGAACAGTTGGAAATAATGACATGGAACCGGGTGGCGGATTAATTTGAGGTCCGTAAATGGGGGAAGAATTAACGGAATGAAGTATACAAGAGTCCGCTGAATAATAATCATTACAACACTGGAAACATACACTATTTAAAGGAACATTAATCGTGTTAAAAAAACCACCAAGATTACCATTATTAGCAATATTAGCATTATTAGGAAATTGTGCGTTAGAAATAACGAAGAGACAGATTGACATGAAAAAAACGATTCCAATAAATTTGTTGAGAGTAGTCATTGTTATGATTATTTTTTGTTATTAAAAAAAATGAAGGTTAAAGATTTGTGAGTGCTTCTTTTATAAGAAATTTTGATGAAACATTTTGTTTCTTGAATGAAGTATATATTAAGACATATACTTTCAATAAAAATTCGAAACATGAAAATGACTTATAAAGAAACAATATTAAAAGTTCATAAAAAATATAAAAACTTGATAATGAAAACCACCAAAGATAGAATTGACTGATAATGAAGAGAAATTAAAAGTATACACATGTATAATATAATTTGTAAGATTCGAATACACCTGTAGGTAATACAACATGTATATATAGCAAAAAATTGACAATGAAAAATATACATTAATTGATAAATGGAATGTTTCTAACCAAGATGGGCAAAAATTATTGTCCGTAATAAATACTAATACCATAATAAAATCTTAGACGTTTATGATTTTATCTATCTTATTCTTGCGAATAAAAGCACATTAAGCTAAATGTGCTTTTTTAATATTCTTATTGTCAGGTCAAGATCAATTAATAACGATAGTAAGAATCTTGCGAGTTTTATCTATCATCATCTCATCTTTTTGTTCTTGTGAATTTTGGCCAGCTTGAACTTTGTTTCTAAATGCATATTTATGCATAATGCATTCTATAAGTCGTCCTCAAAGATATTCATCCAGAGTATGACTGTATATGAATATTACTCTCTTAATATTCTTATCATTGTCAATTATAAGATCAATTAATGGCGATAGTGAATACTATAACTTATATGTTTTTGAGTTTGTCTGCATTATGTATTCTCATGCGAATAAAGCATTTCGATACTCAGTTTTAGTAATTTTATTGTCATAATTCGCGCGCAATCATTGTATGGTTTCTATGAGAGGTTAATATTATTTCTCTATAACTTGCTTTTATTGCAAGTGTATTTGTATGTTCTGTTTTATGTTGGTATTGTCACGCTCAACTCAGTAATTAGTTGGACTAAAGAATTGTAGTAATGACAGGTCGAGAGCTAGACTAAACGATTTACACAGAGTGGGTTTCACGGGGGCTCTAAAGTTCTCCTATGCCAATCCACACGGAGATTATGCAACAAAGGGAGAGGATTCGGAGGGCAAAGATAAAATATAAAATAATAATATTTAATTCAAATAATACAAATAACAGCAAATTAAAAATATAATCTCAATTTAAATAAATAAAACTCAAATAATCGTTCAAACCATAAAATGGGATAATCCAAATCAGACGAAACATAGAATCAAATACGATTCATCAACTTTGTATGGCCAAAGCAGTAAAGCCTTCGATTTTGTTAAGCACAAAAGAAATAAGGCCATCCATTATGTTAAGACACAAAAGAAATAAAAGCCCGAAGTAATTGTTAGGTAAGAGTTAAAAATAATTTTATTATTCACCGTATACAGTCAACCCTCCATAAAAGAACCCCTCATAAAGGAACAACCTCTCATGAAGAACATTTTTTCATGGGACGGATGTGATTTATTAGTAAATTTCCCTTTATAAAAGAACAATCCATAAAGGGACAAGAACATAATTTTGTAGAACGCTTATAATTACGTTTACCTCTATATAAGAACACTGCATGTTGATTGGCTGGCAAATTATTATTTATTATTATGTAAGAAAATTAATTTTAACTAGAAAAGATACAAACAGAGAATTCAAACCTTGCTGTTGTAGTTTCTGTTACATTCCTTGTAATTTCTCGCAGGCCCAACCAACTTAATACTCTATTCAAATATCAAAACATCTATCAAAAACAAGTTATAGTCAATGATTCCCTCTATAAAGAAATTTGTTAATATACTAAAAGTTATTATGACATGAAATATCATGATATTGTCACTTATTTTAATAATAAATATCAAGAACTTGTATTTTTCATCCAACTATCTCAAAGATAATAAAAGATAATGCAAAATAGTTAATATTGAGACTAATAAAGCATCTGTCTGACATAAAGCTGTAAAATTTTTGCTATTAAAACAAGCCTTAAGTTACTGGTAGAGCAAGTAATTGCAGCTACTATTGAATTTAATAAACAGTTACTTCAGAAGAAAGAAAAAGAATTTGCCAAGTTTCTTGACATGTAGAAGAATGAGATGAAATTTTCAAATAGATAGCTTCAAAAATTTAAAAAAAGAAATTAGCTTCATATTTATAGGCTTTATGATAAGATAGATAGTATATTAACTAAATATTTATCAGAAGAATAAAGAAAGTTAAAAGAAATTATTTTATAATTTGATCCTACCAATATATATAATACTGATAAAACAGGTTTATTTTTTTTATATAATATCAAATTAAATATTTGTAAAATATCAAAATGCAAAGAAAAAATTAATATAGTATATATTATTAAATTTTATATAGTAATATTGTAAACTAACATATTTTTATAAGATAAATATTATATTATAATTCTTTTTACTATAAATTTAATAGATTCTTATAAATTATAATCTTTAGTAATTAGATATATAAAAAATTCTAGATATTTTAAAGATATTAATATTTCAAACTTATTTATTATTTATAAGTTTAATTTCAAAGCATAAATATATTTAAATTAGAGATATCATCTCAATTAATTATGACTTGTGATAGCTATTCAGAAATTATAATTAATTATAATAGCTAATCAGAGAATTATGATCAAATTATGATGTTATCTTTAGTTTAAATATATAAGAATCATGATTAAGTTATATAAATAAGAGATTTCATATTTAAAATCATTATATACTTCTTTTAACTAATAATATAGATTCTTATTAAATTCAAACTGATCTTTAACTAATTAATATTACTTTATATTATCTTTTATCAAATATAATATTATATCTCTAATTTATAAATATAAGTATTATCAAATTCTTTAAAGTCAAATATAAGTAATTATATTATTAATATTTATTATATTAATTTAAAAGAAAAATCAATATTAAATAGTTATATATTAATAGATATATTTTTATATAATATAACCTGATTATACTTCATTTTAAGAATAAGTTAAATATAAAATAAGTGATCAATTATATTATTTAATTATAATTTAAGATAATATTTATTATAGTACAAAATTATTGATATAAGACAGATATTCTTTATTATACTCAAGAATTAGAAATTCAAGAAGAGATATTAATTATTATAAAAATACTTGATAAACTGCTAGTAAATATATAAATACTTATTTAAAATCTTGAAGATTATATTATTATAATAGATAAATTAATTGCAACTGAAAATATTTTTGAAGATAGTAAAATTATAAAAATGATTTTGACAGATGCAAAAATTAAAGCAGAGAAAATTGAAGATTCTAAAGAAGAATTAGAAGAATTCTTATTATCTTTAGTTATAATTACTAAAGTATATGAAATATTAAAAAAAGTCATTAGCTTTAAAGAACAGTTGATAGGTAAAAATATTGATATAGAAAAATAGCAGTTACTTAGAAGAAGACTATATAATTATAAAAAAATGCAAGAAATTCAAAATAATAGATAATACTTGATTAATATTTTATTAGTAATACTAGTATTTGATTGGTTTAATAAATATTATAAATAGTTTTATAATCTTGAGTAAATTCTATAAGAAAATATCTCTATAATAGAATATAATTTGACTATTCCAATTGTGTTCTTTTATAGAGAATTAATTATACTATTAATATTTAGCATAGAAAAAATTATTTTAATGATGATAATTTAAAAATGAATTTTCAAGTCAAGTAAATCATAAAGATTAGATTATTATAATTTTTAATAGAAGAACTAAAAATATTAGTACTTAAAATTGATGGTTTATAATAGTTATTTTTTCTTCAAATCACGTATTTTCTTGTAACTTTAACTTTCAAGAGCAGTTTTTTATATAATTATTAACTATTTATATTATAAGTTACTATAAGAATTCTTCCTAATATACAAAATAAGAATTTTACAAAAGAAATATAGTTATATTTTGAAACAAAGAATAATAGTCAATTAATAAAATAAAGTAGAATTAATTATAATTATTAAAAGAATAAAGCAAAATTATTATATACAAAAAGAAACACTCACTTGCTCTTTAACAATTTATTACAAATAAAAATTTGAGAATCAACAAGCAACTTGAATAAAACTTAAACATGATTATCTTTAAAAGAATTCCTAAACTTACTTTAATTATAGCAATCTGTTTCTTTACTTTATCTGATATAAAGCTCACTTCAGATTTATTATCTTTTCATAGGAAGCATCATCTAGCTCTCATAAATATTCAAAATGAGGGGAGATATCATTATTGATATAGTATTGCTTTTTGTTTTTTAACTTATTATAATTAAAATATAGTAGCTTTTTAATAATTATTTTTCATAGATATGTATTTCTACTATATGTTAAATTTAGTAATACTGAAACTTTCAATAAAATATTTAATTTATTTAAATTAGTTATAAATAATATAAATGTGAATTTATAAATTTTTTATTTATATTAAGAATTCTGAAAACTTATTCAAAATAATTGAATAACTTTTTACATTATTAACCTATCTTATAAATATGAAATAGATTATTAAACAACTATTATCATTATTTACTGAATTTGCAGCAAAATATTTACAAATTTATAACTAAATTATGAGCAGTGATTAAAAAACTGTACTATCTATTTATTTTTAAGCAATAAGAATATTGTTATTATTAATATTAGAGCTTTCTTAATTGTAATTGAAAATCATAATCTTTTTAATATGAGAAATATACAACTTGAAAGAAAAAAAAATTATAATCATATTTAAAAAATTATTATTGGAATCTCCAGTAATAATTAATTATTATTTTTTTATTTTTATTTTATTTAATATAAATGATTAGTTCATACTTTAATATAATAGTTAGTATAAAGATTTAGTATACTTTTTAATATACTGTATTATTACAAGATTTGACATAATTATTTTTTAATATAATCTA